TCGATCGATCAAGAGGGCAGGTTGTTGGGAGGTTGCCAAGTGACTTGGCAACCTCCCAGGGTATGTACAACCCCTGGAAGGGGTTGCACATACCCTGTGTGTTGCCCCAGCGTCGATTTGCGCTGATCAACGCTGGGCAAGTATGCTGGGAGGCTGTCTGTCATTCTGACAGCCTCTCAGCTTGTGTTTTTTTTTTTTTCTGTTTGTTGGGAATCTGCCAAGTATATTGGCAGATTCCCAATAACCCTCATACACATGGGGCTTAGTTAGCCCCTTGGCAAACAGGAGATTGCCAAGGCAATCTCCAGGGGTTACTCAGCCCCTCATAAACCATGCCCTTGGGACTGAGCTTGGCCTGTCCCAAGGGCTTATTTTTGGCCTGTCTCAGTCAAAGGCACTTCTATTTAAGAAGTGCCTTTCCTGGCTCTTTTCCCCCAATCTGCAATCAAACCAACACACATCCAACTCACTCCACTCCACTCCAACAAAATCAAAACCAACCATCACCAACAAACAACAACAATTTAAATTACTATTATTAAACATGGTTAATGCTGTAAGTGGCCTTCTACATGGCATCAGTACTGTTACGCATGCACAGTACACTGACTTTTTTTTTTGTCTTGAAGCATGGATGTGAGTCCTGCAGGGCACAATGGGCAGAAAACTCCTGTGAGGTTTTGCCCTTGACTGGGACTTGTAAAACATGCAGGGATCATGGAATACGGTGCCATTTTCAATCACGTAAGCTGCATTTTTTTCTTTCACTCTGCTGATCTTCTTTGCTTACACTGACTTATTTGTATAACTCATTTATCTTTACCACACAGGTACCGTGCTTATTGAAACACTATACCAGAACATCATAAACCTCAGAACTAGTGTATCTCTACAGGAGTGGTTAGTTAGGGAGGGTCAAGAACGCTACCAAGCATTGCTGGATGAGTTCAATGCCCTTAAGGCTGAACATGATCAAATCTTACAGATTGCCAGCCACAGGAGCCCCTCTGCTGAATAGCCCATCTGCTCCTCATGTTTACTCTTCTTGTATTAAATAAACACATGCTACAATACAGTTGACACATCACACACTACCATACAATTAACACAACACACGTTACAATAAAATTAAAACTACACACGCTACAATAAAATTAACACAACACGCGCTACAGTACAATTTACACACATCTATTAGTAATTGAAATACAAGATTTATTCATCATGCTCCTTCAATGTCATTCAGACTTCCAAAGGGCCAAATTTTGCCCTTTTTCAGTGAAAAAAGTGGCTTACATGCCCATTCCTCAGACCCCTCAGACCCTCCACCAAGAGAGGGGTCTGAGGGGTCTGAGGAATGAGGGCTCATACCAGGCGCTCCTGCTGTTAGGTCCCCGGGGGCCCAGCCGGGGAATCATTCAATCCATTACCCAGTGAGTCCTATCCAAACAAGGTAAAAAAAATTCAGTCGCTTGCACCCACAAGAGCAAAGCCAAAAAATTCAACAACCACCTTTTGAGGAAGATTGTTCTCCCCAGATTCAGCCCCAGAAGCAGCAGAGCCCCCATTATGCCCAACGTCTCCAGCTCCATCGGAAACATTCAAACGCGCAGTCTGAACGCAGGAAATAATAGAGTTAAAGATTCAGACTGATCTTCTTGACTGATCAAAAAAACACCTACAATGTCATCTCCACTTGCATTCTCAGAGATAGCAGACGCGGTTCTTCGAGTGATAGGAGCCATTTTTACTAACAGAGCTGGTGATATAAAGAGAGGACAAATCAACCAGGCCAACAAAGATGAGAAGTAGTCAGCCAAGTGGACCCAGCAAAATTCAAAAACGGTAAGCCCTCCCCAAAGACGACAACAACCCTAACCCAAATAAAACAAACCCAAACGAACCTTAAAATATCACTGGAGCCATGCAATCGGAAAAAAAAGACAAAAACAAATAAGCAAGCCAGATCCACACTGCCAAACCACCAAAAGCCATGCCAAGCGCGTCCCTCGCAGACGGGGAGAGGAGCCCCAAAACCCAAAAAAGCCAAACCGGATCGTCCTCAACCCAACGACCCTCGCAGGCTGCGAGGGTCGGCCCAGGCCGCAGGTCAAACAGACAACCAAATAGAGTACCAACTCACCGTTTTTTTTCGATCTGAGCATAGGGAAACAGAAGGGGGACAAGAGTCAGTAATAAGTGAAAAGCCCCTGTCGTAAATTCACAAAACACGATGAACTGGACGACCCTCGCAGGCTGCGAGGGTCGTCCAAATCGTAGATTCGAAGTATGAAGACACGGGCACTCGGGTGACTTACAGATAAGTCTTTGGGGGAGGATGCTGAGACTAGGGAAACAAAGGGTGGGAAAGACAGGAATGAGTCAAAGGCGCCTTTTATCAATCCACAAAAAACGATGAACAGGACGACCCTCGCAGGCTGCGAGGGTCTTCCAAATCGTAGAGTCGAAGCATGAAGAGATGGGGAGTTGGATGACTTACAGATGGATCTTTGGGGGAGGATTGGTCCACAGGGGAATCGAGTGGTGTGATGGAATTGAAGGTTGACAGCAAACTGATTGATCAAAGGACAGGTGGGCAGGTCAGCTAAGAGGTCCGAATGGAGAACGCAAAAAGCAGGGATGATGATACCCCTCCCAGACTGGGAGAGGCATCGTAAAACGACCAAATTGAAAGGAGACTCACCGTATTTAGTAGCCGACGGTCCATCAAATGCCGGGCCCGAATAAGAGAAACCAAGATGTCAGTGTCGTCCTCGCAGGCTGCGAGCGTCGTTGTAAGAACGAACCAAACGGAAGAGCGGGATCTCACGTCTTAATTCGAGTGCTGGTGGTATAGTTGTAAGTTGTACCTGCGTTAAAAAACGAAAGAGATTCGGAATGTGTTAAGTTGAGAATCCTCAAGGCATGAATAAATCAGGTATGGTACGACCCTCGCAGCCTGCGAGGATCGTGGGGACTTACTAATATTGATGGTGTGGAAGCTCTGAGGTCGGAAGGGTGAAAGCGTCATGTCAGTTTGATTTCATACAAAACGAATTCTGGAGAGACCCTCGCAGCCTGCGAGGGTCGGAGTGACTTACTTGTTAATCTTGGGTGAAGTGCAGTAGTTCGTTGGTCGGCAGGTATTTGGTTTGTCTTCGGAATTGTGAAAACTGGGGACTTGGGCAAAGGGGGGGGGGGCCCTCCTTTTATAGTCGTTGGGACCCCCCCTGCCCCTGAAAAACCGTAATAATCCGGTCAAGCTGTGCACGCAAATATCGCGATGTGCTGTCCGCGCGCAGGCTTCGAGGGGTGTCACAAACCACAAAAATCGCGGATTGTGACACCTCTAGCAGACTGCTATGGGTCACCAAATCAAGATTTTTCAACACAAACAAAACTATCCAAATCTGGGTCTGTGAAACCCCTCGCAGTCTGCGAGGGGTGGCATAATTAATGCCTTTTCGATGTGGGTAACTGCACATCCCAAGACCCTTGTGACCAAAGCCCTCTCGAAGAAGGTCGACTTAAAGAACATTATCTGCCGGTTGTCACACCCCTTGCAGGCTGCAAGGGTTTTCATAAATAATAGCAGCCAATCAAGGCTGAAATGATTATCAAATTTATTGCTGCCAATAACGCTCAATGGAAGGATTTAATTCTAATTAAACATCTCCCAAAATAGCAATGTTAAATTAATGGGTGGTGTGAGCTGCAGTCATAAGGGATAATTTTATGGGGAACTGGAAGGAGGTGGGAGAGAAAAATAAATTGGGGGGAAGAGATTAATTAAAATGTAATGATATCCATTGATTGAAAATCACATGAAGAATCAAATATATCAATATGAAATGTATTTTCATGGTAGAGATGAAATGAATAGAATTTTGTATCAAGTATCAGCACAGCTATGAAAACATTGGGACAGATTGGAACAACAGAAATGGCACTCAAATAATAGAAATAAATTGCAATGAAAGGGAATCCCAAAAGAATAGCACAAATCAGATAATAAAAGATAAAATTAAATAACCAAAAATAAATTCAAGAGTAGAAAATAATATAGCAAAATATATTGCAACAGAAAAATAGAATAAACAGGATAGGTGAGATAGGAAACCAAAGGGAATTAATTCAATGGAAAATATAAGAGGATTTTCTACATTATCTTGTAATTTGAAAGGGAATATATAATATTATAGCAACTCACATTAAACGAAAAAATAGTGTAACAAACTTAATTTAAAGGTCTTGTACTTTTTCCGTGATTTAATGCAAGACTTGTCTAATGGGCTAGGGAGAATAAGCCATATTAGGTGGCTTTCTCCTTTGCTTCAGGATGAGCAACTTAACCACTATCAAAGCTGTTTGGGAAACTTAAACTGTCACGCTTTATTGCGCACTGCATTCCAAAGCATACCACATATCATTAACCAAACAAGCCAAAATCAAACAAAGCGAGACAAAACAAAACAAAGCGAGACAAAACAAAACAAAACAAAACAAAACAAAACAAAACAAAACAAAACAAAACTAAACAAAACAAAACAAAACAAAACAAAACAAAACAAAACAAAACAAAACAAACCAAACCAAAACAAAACAAAACAGAACAAAACAAAACAAAACAAAGCAAAACAAAACAAAACAGAACAGGAATAATTGGTTGCTGGTTCGGACTAGCATTGTGTCTGTTGCTGGTCTCTTGCCAGCGCCTTAACTCTTCATCAGATGTGTATTGCTTTGTTTAACTTCTTGCCATGAATGATGTACCAGTGATCGGGATCTGCTCCATTCTGATCTTTTATTTGAAGCAAACGGTGTGGGCAATTAATTGCATTTGAGGCTGAGGGCTCAGTGAAAGATCCCAGATCCCGCCCCAGCCAAAATTGGGATCAGGATCTGGCCCTCAGCGCTGAGGGTCTTTGGTCTAGTTATAGAGCAGCCGTTTGTTTAGGTATCGAAGGAGTGTCAAGTAAGGAAAACTAGGAAAATCAATCAAAATCAACATGGATCTACCGTTTGGTACATCAGATATGGAAGAATTATTTGCTCCACAAACCGACTATAGGAAACACCCTTTTACGCCAACTTCAAATTTAAACCGGAATACGAAAACTACAATGTCATCATCAACGCTATCACCACCTTGGATGAAGAACAGGAAGACGGGAAATCTGCCTATATTCAGAACTGGAATCAACAAGACCCTAGATATGGACGAACCAATTTATCAACAACCAACTAACCAAAACAAACCAGTTTTAATTGAACAACCTGGACTTTTCTACAACGGACACCATTTCATGCAATTCTTGAGGCAATACGACATGATCGCGGATTCACTTAATGCAACCAAATACAATCGAGCCCTACAGATTGGACGGTTTGTGCGAACCGAGGAACTGAAGTGTCAAATCGAGTCCATGGACGGATACGAGGAATGTGACTGGGATATTCTACGGGCCTCAATGTTTGAATTATGGGGTGATGAATATGAAATTTGGTATACAACAACTGACCTAGTCAACCTTTCTGAAGAATTTTCTAGAGATAACAAAACAGTCAGCTACCAAGCATTCCAGACATACCTTCAAAACTTTTCCAAAATACTTGATTTCCTCCTCATCCAGAAACAATTGAGAAGTAGACAGGATGCCTTAGTTCTTTTCATCAGTTCCTTTCCTCAAGAACTCCAGAGAAATATCAAGCGGAATTTAAATCAAAATGGTCAACTTCCACAAGCACCCGATGGATCCAGGTTACCCCCTCTTTGGGAACACCTTACGGAGGCGGCTGGGGTGGAGATCAAATTGAAAGAATTAGCCAAGGAACTTGAGTCACTCAAACAACAACTTCAAGAGTCACAATCACCTGTCATTTGCAACACTCCACATCCTTTGTCCCAATTGAAGCCACAAATGGATTATACGGAACCAGTGACGGATTATACGGAACCAGTGACGGATTATATGGAACTAGCGACAGATTGTACGGAGCCAGCGACGGAATATACGGAACCAGCAACGGATTATATGGAACTAGTGACGGATCATACGGAGCCAGAAGCAAATTATACGGAACTCACCATTGCTGATACAGAAAATTCAATGGATGTCACCATACCCCCGGCCTCAATGAACATGACAGAACCAGTCACAACTACCAAACTACTGGATCTGGAAGAATGGAAAGCGGCATCAATAAACGTAATGGATACACCAATGGATCTTGCACATACAGTAATCAAAATCCCTGATATAATTCTAGATGAACCTGATACGGAGAACCATGTGGATCAGGAAGAAAGCTTGGATCAATCAACTCAACCAGAAACTTTGGATCAGTTGCCATCATTCAAAAACAATCCGGTGAAGATTCAAAATTTACTACTTGCGGAAAACTCCAAGGAAGACCACAAATTTCCTGCAATCCCCGGCAAATTTTGGATGCTTAATATCAACAAATATTTGGAAATCAAGATCTTCAACAAGCAACTATTTAGGCCTCTTTCGGACATATTTGGACTTTGGCGGATCAATAACCACTCGTCTCAACACCTGGAAATTGAGAATACCCAAATTGAAGAACCAAAAGACAAGATTATTAGTGTTCACGTCCCATTGGCTCCTGCAAATTTTGAAACAACAGACTTGCCTAGTTCCAGCCAACCATTTACACCATCAATTTCCACCACACCAATTCCTGAAGGAGTCTTTTCAATTCCAACACCGCCAGATCCACCAGATATTACGACAACATTTATCAATCCACAGAATGAAGCAAACGGGAAAACTGGACAGTTATCAAAGTTACCAATCAACAGTATTGCTCCATCTGAATCACCAAGGGAATTATTTCTTCTATTTTATTTACTTCAGAAGATCCTTTCTCAGTTACCCCTATCAATTCTGCGAGACCATTGGCGAAAACCTTATGGAAACGTCAAGCGCCCAAAGTTACTGG